ACTAATTTTAATAATATTAACCTTTTTCCTTGTGTATATTGATAAAATACCATTTAAGTGGGGAGGAACAGGACAACTATTAAACAGAATTTAATATTTCAAAAACTGTCTAATGTTGTAAGTTTTTTATGAAATCGGTTGTTTTCAACAGTAAGAGGTTTTTTGATTCAGGTAATATTATAGAAAAGATGGTAAAATTTTTTTGAACAAAGAATGTCACAAGCTTATTTGATAATGTGAACACATGAGAAGCGATGAAACTATAAGTACTCAAATTTAAAGGTTTTGTGGGTTAGGGCGGTATTGCACCAGACCCCTCAAATGTATAGTATCTATGTGAAAAAAACAACTAAAACAAAAAATAAGGAAATGATCAATTTAAAACTTCATGTTTTCACTTTTTTCTGCTTTTAAAGTAATTAAGGATAAATAAATCACTTTACAATTTTTATTTTAAGTAAAAACATCTAATACAATATTTAAAAATATTATTTAAATCAAGTTAATCTGAATCATAAGAAAAGCAGATAATACTCTTGGATATTCCCTACACGCACCATAATTCGCACAACCTTACTTTGAAAATGCGCGCCAAAACGCAACAGCTGCGCTATCTGCACTCGGCCCATGACTGAGGAAACAAACTAAGTCCCCCGCGTTTTAACATTGAGTGAACCGGCCCTGCTGAAACTTGACCTGCGCGTGCGCAGAAGATAGTGGATAGTGCTTCAACTATCGTTGGTACACATGGCATAATGTTCAGGTTACATTGATCACATAAACATCAGCTCCACGTGGGGTTAAGTTCACCTGTGATGTTTGCTAATGTGTTGTGCGATATTATGAATATGACTTAAATACAATGCGCACGTCATTGTTTTGCAGAGATCAGGCTGTGTTACTTGTTGGTGAGGGTAATTTTTCATTTAGTGTTGCATTAGTGAAATTGAAATTTAACTTAAAACTGACATCCTGCTGCTTCGAAAAGCAACCTGCATATTCGTCGACCGAAGAAAATATTCAGTTTTTGGAACGCGAAGGTGTGACAATTTTCTATATTATTGTACAGGGTTCTTTACATTAATTGCCTTGGGTCTGTCATATCTTTTAAATAATTTTTTTTTTTTTTAAATTTCAAGGGTCCAATTTATTTCATTAAAATAATTGCAATTGTTATTTGAAGTCTTGGATATAACTTATTTATTCATTTAATGTTCTTTAATTGTTTTTTTGTACAATATGTAAGTCACATACTTTACTTTGCTTCTAATTTAAGTTCTTATTTTGTGGTCTGATTTTTTAATGTTTTAAATTGTTTGCAAAACATTTGTATTGCTTCATAAGATGCAGTAGCAAACTTGACCAGAGATTCTGTCTGTAGTGAGTGTGGGTATTTTGCTTTACAGTGCAAGTTGTCTTTGCACAATGAAGTCCAGTCTTAAGCTGTTTAAAATAGGTCTATCAAAATCCAGGATGTAAACAATGATGTTATCTCTTAATTTTAGTTGTATATTTTGTGAGGAGTTATTACAATAATAATTACATTTATTTTCCCACAGAGAAATGCTGTAATATTTTTTTCTTTTATCATGTGTATTTGTTAAATCTTTTAGTTATTAGTGACAAAAGGATTATATTCATATCTACAGTAGAGAAAGATGCAAAGCAACTTTCATGTCTTTTTTCAGGAGTACGAGTACTACTGGATATAGACGCTACACGTTTAGGAGAATACAAAGAATTGAGAAGCCATACATTTCATCGGATTGTCTTCAACTTTCCTCATGTTGGAGGAAAAACAAAAATTCACTTGAATCGAGAATTGTTATGCAACTTTTTTAAAAGTTGTACTCCTTTGTTGGCTCTGGGGGGAATTGTAATTGTGTCATTATGTCGTGGTCAAGGTGGGTCAAATCGTGAGACAGCTTGTCGACAATATGCTGACACATGGAAAGTTGTGGAAATGGCTGCTCATGGAGGGCTTGTTCTCAATGCTGTTGAGCCATGGGTACAGAATTCACCTTTAGGGAATTATTCTTGCGTAGGACGTCGCAGTCGTGATTCCTCTTTTAAAAGAGAAGGTGCACTGGTACATGTATTTTGCATAGCACCTGTCCCCTTTGAGTTTGTTAAAAAGAGTTCAAATGTAATGAATATTCAGCAAATAGTATTGCCCGAAGGAACTGTTAACTGTTCTCACCTTCAAAGTAACCTTTTGAAGAAAAGTTTAGTTTTTGACAATTCTTCAACACTTTATTATCTTTTGCAAAGCCTTGTGATGTATAGTAATAAAACCTACCATACTAAGACATGTCAAGTGTCACCAGTAATGAGCAATGGTGAATTGCGTCATTTTGAAGATATAGGTTCTTTGATTGAGGAATTAAAACAAGAACAGTATTGGGGAAATTACCATATACAGCTCTTTTGGGGAACTGCTTTTGTAAATGTAGGAAGGGATTTCACATCAGCACCTGCATCATGTTATGTAGTACTGTTGGGATCAAAGTCACTTTCTCTTTGTCAGGAATGGTTGACTGAAATACATTGTTCCTCTGAGATATTTTTAAATGTTGTGAAAGAAGTAGACCCAAATACATGTTTACTCTACTTGGATGAGTTGGCATTGAATCTGTTTCGCCTGTCAGGTTGGCATGAGCTATGGGCCTTGGGGGCTAAAGTTGTAATTGATGAAAAAGGTTTGCTTTCATGGAAACCTGTAAGCATTTCTCCTCCTTCTTTTACATTTGACTTAAGTGTGGCTCACCAGCTAGAGCCACCTGACATTGAATTAATATGCCAAGTGTTGTGGCAATTAGTTGGAGAAATTGTACATTGTGTTGAAGTTGTGGATAACTACAAATCACCAGAAGGTTGGTTCAGCAAGTGCCTGAGAGTGACCTACTGTTCATACGAAATTGCTTTACACAGGTCTTTGGTTGTAAAATTACAACAAGAAGTGATAGGTCCTGCATTAGAACAACACCTGGGGATGACAGTGAGATAGTAGTAGCTGGTGGGATTAGTGATTCTGTTCAGACATTTCTCTTCTAAGAAATATCATGCCGGATTTAATGAATAAGTAGTTGACAGTGGCATGCTCTGTATTTCATAAACGAAAATAATAAAGTGACATTTTATCTATTAGTGCAGTATCATTATTCATTATTTTATTATTTCTCTTTGGATTCCTGATATCAGCGTTGGAGAAACTGGCACGTCAAATGCTTAGTTGATAGGTTACTTATCTATTTATGATTCACACTGTAAAGACAGAAGAAAAAATAATTTAGAAGAATCAGACCACAATTGAAGTTAGAAAGTAAAAAAATTAATGAATGTCATAACTCTGAGGATTTAGGGAACATTTTTTATTCTAAATGCTTACACGAATTTAACAAATGTTTAATGGTGAACAAGCGAGTCTTGTGTCCTATGAACTGACATTTATTATTATTTTGAGTAAAGAATGTGAAGACTAATTTCCTCCTGTGTGCAAAAAATTAAATATATTGAACAATTGTTTACTGATCGGACTTGAGAACTTTTAAAATAAAATAAATTGAAATATTTTCATTGTACATTTCTTTGCCTGAAATAAACAACTTTCAGTTACGAGTCCCTTACCCATACTAAATAAAACCATATTTAACCATATATAAAAACATATTTCCATAAATATGTTAAATTCTCGATTTTAATCTTTTTTTTACCTGACAATTTGGGAAATTATTTTTAATTTAGGGTCTATGTTCTCCAAGCCATCTAGCAACCCCATAAATCAAACCTGCATTGAATTTTGCACTTTCACTGACCTCAAGAGTCAGGGGCAAGCCACTCAAGTGCAATCACAGGCAGTGCAGAAGAGTAGGGATGATACTCGTTCTAGGTGGGGGAACCACCACTGGGAATGTGCAATTTGAATCATAGCACGTAAAGTGAAAGATCAGTTGGTGAGAGCATGGCAGTCCTTTACGTACAGTCCAAGTAATATTGCATTTTATGTTATTTCAGAAATATTTGTTGTCTCTAGATTACAATCTGAAATATTAACCTAAAATGAATTAGACATGCTTATTTGATTTGGGCACCTAGTGTTATACTTGCTTTCAGGACTGGTAATGTAATTTGCTGCAAAGTAATCACAAATGTAGTGAGGTGCTGAAGACAAAATTGTAATATTGAATTGTTTTTGATGACAGCAATAAACTATTTTAAATTTAATAAGATAGTTATTCTATTAAAGTTAAGCAAAGTTAATATAAAAAGGCCAAGTAAAGTTAAGCCCCCAAAAAAGTCTTGAAAAATTATTACTTTATGCTGTAATTTTAGACTGTACATTGCATTTTGACAAGAATACATTATATATTTCTAATATCTAATGAAGACTATATATTCAATATTGTTTACGACCTTGATTAATTTAAAATATATTAACTTAATTTTATGATTTTAATATTGTCCATAAAATATTAATTAAGTTGAAGATTATAACTTTCTTGGTGAAAAATCAAATTATTTAATTGTGAATGAATAGTAGTTAAAATTAAACTGTAATTTTTAAAAGAGGCCACCTCTTTCAAATATTGTTTGTCACAATGAGCGTAAACTAAAAATAAATTTAAAAAATGTTATATAGCAGTGCAAAGAACATAAACTGTACATTATGGCCTTTATAGCTACAAATATGGGACATCATCCGTCTAAATAAGTAGGCAAATAATTTCACAGCGTGGATCATTGCATTAGAAGCCCAGGCATTCAATCTACGTTCCACGCTTCCACTGTGTAATAGCAAGCTGCTCCCCTCCCCACAAAGCTGCCTAGTCCATACTGCTGGCACTGGCCCTGCTCTCGTGGGCAGGCCCCCTGCTCTTGAGTGCACAATGCCTTTGGGAGCAAGCGTTGTGCAGGCCTGCCATGATGGTTCAACATAGAAACAATTACATAAATAAGTTACAATATCATTCTCCTTGTAGAAAGTTTTATATATTTACTAGTAAAATATACCTTATGTAATTAAAAAAATGTTAATATAAAAGTCCCCCTCCCTCTTGTTTAAGGCTTTATTACATTACAAAATATGGCCCATGTACTCTGTAGTTTTTGTTTTCTTTTTAGGGACATTTTGAAGTAATACAATACACATTTATTTATTAATTTTTCTGTTGTTGTACTTCTCATCTTTCAAATTCTGACAGAGTGCTTTTCTGTCCTAACTGCACATTTTCATTTGTCAATTTTTTTTTACAGATGTTGCTGTTACATAGATCATTATTTTGCAGACCAGTGACAGAAGTACTTTTCACACAATTTTCAAGACTGCTCAATACATCTGAAATTCCAGCAGTATTGCGGGATAGAAAGAGTAAATCACAACGCAAAGATACGGTGTGCTTCTTTAATATTGTCCAAAATTATATTTACTTTTCTGGAACCTGGGATCAGTTCAACAAAAACTCTTTTATTGATTTCAGTTGAAGAGGTTTGTTGATAGTATTAGAGTTCGGGCAATGGGGGGCAACGGTGGAGATGGCTGTGTCTCCTTTATGAAATTGTGGTGCAATCCTAATGCTGGTCCTGATGGTGGTGATGGAGGGAATGGTGGCCACATACTCCTTCAAGCAAGTGCAGAGGTGTCTGATCTGCATCATGTTAAAACTATTTTGAAAGCAGACGATGGTGAAAAAGGTTACAATGACCACTGCCACGGGCACAGTGCATCACACACTGTGATCAAGGTAAGTTGCAAAATGAATGTTGAAGACCCTATTGCATTTCTGCACAACTTACATAAAAGCTTCCAGTTAATATAGATGCAGCTGATAACATGTTCATTGTTTATATTAGTATATGTATTCAATAATATTTACAATTTTTGTTACAATTTCCCACCTTAAATTGTTGTTATAAATAAGTCTGTGTAATTATTTCTGTCCGTTAATATAATTCACACTTCTCAGTTTATCTAATGATTTTTATACATCATTGTAATACAATGTAATACTACTGTATGAAGCTCTACTTTTGCTATTAATAAAAATGAAAATATTTTTATTGAATTATTAATATTGAATATGGTTATCCTAAAACTGACCTTGCTTGATACTTGTCTATAAGCAATAACTTTTTAAAATAATAATAATTATTATTATTTTTGTTAGGGAAAGGAATTGTAAGTACTAAAAAATTATTGAAATATGCTTTGAAAAACATGCATTTACGATCTAAAACATTTCTCAAATATACTCTTAATGTGAAATTGAAATCAACAATATTTGAGTTCCTGCTGTAACCTTTCTTGATAAAATTCAGAAGCATGCTTAGAAAGGACATATTTCTGTGCAAACAAAAAAATAAGTAAATATTCACCTTAGCGAAGTACAATGTAAGTCTTGTTGCATTTCTTCTGACTGGTTTAAAAATAAAAAAAATTATATCAAGAAATTTCCTAAATTTGCACTAGTATTTTATCTAGAAAAAAGAAGAAAGAAAAAACAGTGATAAGCTCTTTGTAATCAATGCTCAAAATAAATAGATTATGAAAGTCTGAAGCGTTTTAGAGAAGTCTCTATTTTAACAAAATATGTAAAGTATGCCCCTAAAATTATACAAATAAGCACTAAGAGGAAAAGTTGACCAAATACGCATTTTATACCATATTAATCTACACAGCATCCAATTCTAACTAAATGTCAAGAAATTTTACTTAGCTGTGCCTTGAAGCAACAGACAAAAATATGCAAAATCAGATTAATCTGTTTCCAATTATTATTATTATTATTTTTATTTCTATTATTATTAAAGTTTGAGATGTGTGTAGTGGTTTTATTGTAGAGGTTAAATACATTTTTTTTTTAGGTTCCTCTTGGAACAGTAGTGAAAAATAGCTCTGGAATAATAGTTGGGGATCTCCTTGAAGAAGGTGCAATGTTTGTTGCTGCACGTGGTGGTGCTGGGGGAAAAGGGAACCATTTCTTTGCTTCTGACACCAATCAAACTCCTCAAGTTGCTGAGTATGGAGCCAATGGAGAAGATAACATTTATTACCTGGAATTGGCAAAGATAGCTCATGTGGGACTGGTAAATTGCAAACTGCTATTTTTTCTTCATTTTTTCCAATGAAGATTTCATGAACTTGTTCCATTTTTAGATAGGCTATCCTAATGCTGGCAAAAGTACATTACTACAAGCTATTTCTCGAGCACGGCCAAAAGTAGCTCCCTATCCTTTTACTACTCTACACCCTCATCTTGGAATTGTGAATTATGAAGACCATGAGCAAATCGCAGGTCAGTGTAGCGTTGTGCGACAAAACATCTGCTTTCCATTTTGAGCTACTGTGAGCACAAGACACAATTTTTAAAATAAAAATAGTTTTTTAATTTTCATTCTGTTGGTGCATTTTCAGTTGCTGATTTGCCTGGCCTTATTCCCAATTCTCATTGCAATAAAGGATTAGGAATAGCTTTCCTCAAACATGCCGAAAGATGTCCTATATTGCTGTTTCTCCTAGATGCATCCGAAGATGACCCATGGGAAGCTTTGAACATCCTACGTGATGAAATGAGGCATTTTAGTGTCAGTATGTTGTCAAGACCACATCTTGTGGTTGCTAACAAAATGGATTTGCCTTCTGCCCAGAAGAATTTTCCTCTTATGAAATTAAACATCAATGAACCTATCATTCCCATATCAGCAAAGAGTGGCACTAATTTACACATTTTACTTAGTAAGATTCGTGAAATGTATGATGTAAATAAAAGGAAATTTGTGGAAAAGGAAGATCAAATTTCTTGAAATAAGTCAAATCTGTATAAGATTTTTTTTTTATTGTACATATTTCTATGTAAATAAATCTGAGTGAATGGCACGTAGCAAGTAATATCACATCTCCTGATAATCCCATTGAATAAACCAAAACCTTCAAAAAATAAATAAGACTTTCTGGAAAGTTCAGTTAAATTTAGTGCATACTATCAGAACAGAATATTAACCAAATTCTGCAAACATCAAACGTGTTTTATGTCAAAACATCAGTTATTTAAAAACCTTCCCCTGGTTGAACTTCCTACCACCCTTGTCACTACCAGACCATGACAAATATTGCTCTATCAATTGTTTAGTTTCAGGCTTAGAAACATCTAATTTGGTCCACTCATAGGATTCATAATCTACTTGCCAATCAGGAGATAAAGGAAAAGCAAGCTCATGTCCACACCACAACCATACACCTGAAATTGAACTATTACCCGTATCTCCAAAGAGACACATGGATGCAAAAGCATGTTTACGTAATTTGTCTAAGCGTTGAAACATTCCAGTAATTAGATTACAACTCATGAAAGGTTGTCTTAATTCTTCGGGATATTTATATTCACAAAACCAAAATGACCAATGCTGGGTGTCTAACTTTTGCCACAAATGTTTGATAGATACTGCTTCTTCTTCATTAGAATATACTCTTTTGAACTCGTCTAAATTGAAGGATCCACGAGGTACATCTGCCAAAGGATCTTTGCTTTTAGGTTCAGCAGCTAGCACTGCCTCTGTTTCATCTGGTTCCTCTTGCTGCAGAGCCTTGTTTTCTTTCTGTTTATCGGCCTTCTTTTCTTGCTTCCCAGCTTTTTTCTCTTCTTTTCCAGATTTTGCTGTTTTGGGAGGCGATGTCTGCAAAATAAAAATTAACAAGAGTTCTAGATTTTGACAATCCTCTCAATTTGTTATTTCTAGACTGAAATTACTATGGTAAAATTATATAAAATATTTGTAGCAACTTCACAAATCATGAAAACACAAAATAAAATGGTACAACCAATAAACCGAGGAGACAAATATGGTATATACCAAAAGAATTTTTTTTCTCGTAACAAAAGTTTAAATAAGTAATTAGGAATTTAATCAGAAAGGAACACACACACCTTTAAAAATTCATTTGGCTCCAAAATAATATTACACATTCCCTCTTTCAAAAAACAAGTATAGAGAAAGAAGGATCTCTGAATGCCACAGCCTATTTGATTGCAGAGAAACTGCAATTATTACAAGCCCCATTGGGCCCATAACAGAACAAGTTCGAGAGATAAGAACACTACCCATAAGAAAAAAGTTGAAGTATATGAATGAATGCCTCTACTGCTTCATGTTGTACATCTCAGAGGAATTATGTTACCAACTTTTACTAAGAAATACATTAATTAATTATCCATAGTTCATTCATGTTAAATTTGAATGCTGATAATTTTCAAAGATCTTAAAGCAAATAAAATATCTTTATACCACTTTATCTTGTAAATATTACATCTGCCTCACTTAAACTGGATTATTATATTTGATGTTATGACTTACAGACACCACAGCTATTCATGTTATCCGTATGATTTGTGCAGTTGAGGAATCAAGGAACAAGGATTCCATGATGGGAAAGGATTATCGATAATTTCCTGCTGTTTCTCAAATACAGACTATATCAAAATTATCACTACAAGATGCATTGAGTGATCCAACTTTAATACTGGCTTTATTCCAGTATTGAGAAAAATACTGAAAAGAACCACAAATATGAGAAGTGAAGACATCAACAATGTAATATAACATCATCCATAACAAGGCATCAAACCTTTTCAAATAATATTTTGTTTTTGCTTTGGATGTTTGATAACAAAAAGCTTTGAGTTTGAAACAGTTTCAAATAGGTTTCCCTGTCTTTCTGTTAAAATGTGAGATATATTTAAATCAATTACTTTGTCCTAAATATTACCAACATGCATATCCATAATTTTTAGTTGCTCCAAGAATTCATGGGCTGTAATCATAAAAACCTTTTTCTGATGCAGACAATGAAACAAAACAACATATCTTTTAGAAATATTTTCAAAACGTATGCAATCACTAGGATCTACCTCTCAATGCTTGAACCTAGAGTAACAAGCTTTGAGATCTTAGGTTTTAGTAATGGAGGACTACAACATCTGGATATTTTCAACAATATATTACCAGAAAAATAACTTATACAGTTTCAGATCAGTCTTTAAAAGATTTGGTTTGATGCCTTTATCCACACACTGTCAATTTATTAACCTTCCAATAATTTTTAATTATATTAATGATTCTCTTTTATGAACTGAAATAGACATCTACACAAACAAAAAATGGTCATTGTGTCAACCCTTTTCTCACAATGGGCTGCAAACAACAAAACCAATGTTCTGAATTATATTTTTGGTTCCAATACTTTGCTAATCATATAAATATATAAAAATTCAGTTTTGAATTTTCCTTTCCAGAACATGCAGAAACTATGACTTCTGTGAAGTACTTAGTGAATTGTTACACAGGTGAAATTGAGGATGCTAAAAGTATTTAAATAATGAAAAGGTTTCTAGATACATAAAAATAACATTCCAATTTAACGAGTATACATATATAAATCAAGACTTTTATTAGTTTATATTTAATTGAAGACTGCCCTTATTCATGATGGACACATGCTTCCTGTAACAATTTTCCCGGATTCCAATTGCAAGAGTGTGTATTGTTACCAGATGCCTTAGATTTTGTTTCACGTGGAAAATTAAAATCTTTCTTTTGTATATTTATAATATTGGTACCTAAAAACGGACCCATTTTTAATACCTAAAATTTTGCACCTAAAAATCCAGTCTATATTTCTATTTAAATTTGAATTCTTGTTTATTTTTACTTTAAAAAAATCATTTACATCCTGGATACTGCGAAATGAATAAAAAGTAAATGGGGAGACCCTTGTTTAATCGCTGTCAACACTGTTGTATTTTCTATAACTACAGCCTACTGGTTACTGGTTACAGAATACTACTGAATTTTGGGTACCGTAATGGAATGTAATTAAGAAGAGAGAATATACACAAGAGCTTAAGTTTTGGGTTTTATCTCTCCATTTGTTTACGAAGTGACTCAAATTCCTTTACCGTTTTTTTTATTTTTATTATTACGAGAAATCTGGATTTGCTCGTTTTTGACATGTGCATCCCGTCCCTTTACAGACACTTCGTCCCTTCACAATAAACCATGTACTTCTGGACAGGTGCCTGAAAGTGCAGCCTCTTTCTCAGTGTTAGATTCATTGCAGCTCAGCAAGCTAAAATGTTCTAAAATCAGTGGAAACCCAAGAGATTCAATTGCCTGGAAAGTTTGAAGCCAAATCCTTTTCTTGTCTGTATATTTTTGTACTTTGTTCATCTATTCAGACAGGAAAAGGAATGCAATCTGTCTATAGTCTATTGTGGCATCAGTCACCTTGTACAAACATGACAAAATATTAGCCACACGCATTTCATGCACATGAAATGCATGAGGAAGTAGTTTGCGACAACAGGCAGCGCTGGCAGGAAGGGGCGCCGGGCTGAACAATGGCAAACCTAGGGAGCAGAAGGAAAGGGGTGTAGTGTCGTGGGTGGCCACTTGTAAACCCTGTAGACCACTTGGGGCAAACTTGTGAACCCCGTAGACATGCTGACTGTGGAAACAGCGAGGCGACGCAGTTTCGTCAGCCGGCCCAGAAAGTAATATACGCATTCCCTGACCCTGATACTACCTACCTTACTATCAGGCAGTGCATTTCAAAAAATTATTTTTTTCACATAATGATGTTTATAGAACATACACATAGTAATGTAAACTATACATGCAGACATTGAGGACTTCCAACTTTCAAACAACACACTAGCGGCGATTAACTGAGTAGTGTATTAAGAAATAGGGATGTTTATATAACAAGTTATACAACTACTATATATATTACATGATGTTTAGATAGAGTGTTTTGCAAAGTACAATTTTTCCAAATTTTTAAACCGACTAAACTGGCTATTTTCTTAAAAAATGAATTGAGTACTGTTGATGTTGTATGTAACAAGGTAAAACAGTGTAAAAGTGTAAAGTTTCACTCGTAACAGTCATTCAAAATTGAGTGAAATTGTGAAACGCACACAAATGCTTACCGAAACTTTCAATGGCTTCTCGCACAACTTGAATTCTGGAATCACTGCAGCAACAGAAGGCTGATGTAAAATAGTCAAAAACCATCGAGTTAAATTTTGGTACTGGGCACGTGCTGGTTTATCAAGGACTTGTGCATACAGAGGCACAAGAGTGGAAAAGATGCACAGATCTGCAAGACTGATTCGTTCCCCAACTAAATAAGTATGAAGCAATAAATTGCTATTTATTGTTGACAGAATACGTTCAGCCTCTTTTCGAGAACCAGCTTTATCTGGAGCATTAGGATGTATCCATCCAGCTATGTATGGGACTAAGTGGTTGCGAGAGAGTTCCATCCATTGCAAAACTTGAGCATGTGCAACAGGAGAATCATCTCTACGAAGTGATGAATTTGCTAAATGGAGAGCAATAGCATTGCTATCAAATAGATACACCTGAAATAACATGAAATCTCTTCAGATTATTCACAAGAACATATTAAAATAAAACCCCTATTTTACATATTTATTTATAGCAATTTTTAAAAATGCTCCTAAAATCTTACCTTATTATTAGGATCTTCATAGGCAGGCTCAAGACCGAAAAATTTCTTTTTATACTCAGGAGTTTCACTTGCACTCTTGCTATTTTCAAAGGCAACACATTTCCCTGCATACTGTGAAATGATTTTCGCAAGTAAAGTAAACACAGAAGATTGAGGAGAATAGACAACCACAGATCCTTTCTGAACTGGAGCATCTCCTTTTTCCAAACATGTTGATTTGGGAACATCACCTTTATCCTCAATTCCCAGCTTGCCTCTTGCAAAATCAAGAGCTGTTTTTAAAGCTTGAGCTAAATTCTGAATATTTGAGCCAGATGCCTGGGCTGATTCAGCTTTGCCTCCACCTTTCCCCCCCATTAATCCAGTCACAGCTCCAACCCATTCATTTGCTTTCAAGCCTCTATTCACTGCATTCTAGAAGAGAAATGAAATACATTTTAATTAACAAAACTTTCTTAGGATGAAAGCAACGAATCACAGTCACTTTACAGACCTACCTTTGGAACAGAACATAGGCACACAATCTTTCTTGCATCTGGATCAATACTAAAAAACAAAGCAGCTGTTTCTGGAGACAGTGTTCTCACTTGTTTCAATGCGCCATCTAATGCCTGCAACAAATAACTGCAGTTAATAAAAACCAAAATCAAAAGTTTAAATGAAAATGGCTTTCTGCCCACTGAAATCACTATCATTTGCTCCATTCCTACAAAGGTTTAAATCTTACAGATAAAAGAATGTTTGCTAGTTGATTCATACTAATGCGCTGCTGGACTGTTCATATGATTGCGATAAAACTGTTAACTTATTGCTTGCACTTCCAGGAAGAATATAGTCATAGTATGATGGGAATGCATGCGAATGTAGACACAAGATGATTTTATGCTGACTCAAGCTCCCTTAATAGGACACTATGTAACGGTGCTAGACGCAAACCGTTGCACACCAGAGTATGATTATTACGACCTTTCCATTGAGTATTCTGCCCATGCGAATGTTAAATAGTTCTCGAGATAGATAGGGAGAGACATCACGAACCGCAGGAAGAATGAACGGGAGGCCAGTTCCTGGTTAAGCAGTAGACCTGAAATAATTCAGTCCTCCAGGTGCTACTGCATGGTCCATTTCTTTCTTGGTCTTCCTTCTTTCTTCTCTCATCTCTGCTCTTTCTTCTTATATCTCTGTCCAAGTGGTTTATATTTTAGGGCAGCCTTTGGGAATGGCTCTTGGTAACTACCTCTGTTATGCTTGTGGTCTTCAATCTTTTCCTCATGTCTTAACTTCTCTGTCAATCTAGTCTAGTGTAGCCAAGGTGTCTTGGAACTCCATTTGAACTACTTCTAGTCTTTGGTCAATTCTGTTTTATGATCTAGGTTTCTGATCTATATACAATAGTATTGTTTGGCTGTCATTTTGTGAATTCTTAATTTGGTTTCCTGTGTAATGTCCTTCCCAAAAGGTCTTTTAATGATTCCATTTAGTATATTTTATTTCAAAATTTTGTGTTGCAGGTCTTGGAAGTTTTGTTCAATGACATTGCCTAAATATTTGAATGTTGAAACTTGCTCTATTATTTCTAAACCTACATATCATCCACACCTTACAGTCACATTAAAGATAATATTAACATGAACAATAATTCAGGAAATATAGTACAAATCTCATTAAATGAACTAAAGAACTTAAATTACAACTGACGCAGATTTTTATAGCAATCTTTGGGTTAGCTGACTTTTTTCATTACCAAGTCCTAATAATAATTTCGTCATTTAGCTTTCAAAAATAAACTAAGAGGTATTATTTTTCAATATACAGGGAGAGTCACATTATTTTAGCACCTCCTATAACTTCTGAACAGTTGAAATTATTGCACTGTAGTTTTCCCAGAAGTGTACGAGGGAATGGGGCTAATTGATACGAGTATTCATTTCTATTTTATCATTTGTATTTTATGAGATTTTGAGGTAACTGTTTTTTCAAACAAAACTATAGATATTTGTTTGGCCTATCAAGACGAGCATAAAAAGGCAAATCCAATACAATTTTTCGTATGTTTGATAAACATTTTTTTTTAGTAATTTTGATTTTGTTGCAACTAGAGTTCAAGATATTTTGAATATAACAGTCCACCACACAAGGTCACGCAGTACTCCCCCAGCTAGCATGCAGATCATGCGCATTAGGTCGACAGTTAAATTAATTGCAAAAACTATACTAATTTTGTAAAGATCTCCCTAATTTCAAAGTGAAACACACATAAATAACATTTTAACAAATTGTTTGATCACTGGTAAACGTAGGTAGTCCACTGTCTGCCAGACTCGCTACTCAAACTAAGTTGCATCAATGACACGAAGCATTGTGACATCCAAACACTGAAACCGTTAGACATGTCATGCTATGAATAGCAGAAACACATATACAGTTTCAATTGAAAGTCTTCTGACGAAATAGGACTATTAAGTTTATTTATAAACAACTGACACTGATAGGGTCTGCATGAAACAGAAAAGCCTTCATTCTCAGATATGCTGAGTTAGTTTTGTAAACAGAGGAATCCACGAATCAATACTATTGTTATTTGCATTAGCTTAATATGAAAATCTATAATTGCAGAAGGGTACATTTAGGTTGTACTACCAGCATTATTGAGAAGTTGAAAATTAACTTTTTGTCGTCAAAAAATGTTGTAATATTGGAAGAACTGGTTTTCAAAATTCCTTCTCGTGACAAGACAAGTGCAGTTTTTGATTATAGAACATACTTGTTTATGCCGCAAATATGTAGGGCAGTGAAAATGATGATTAAGCGTGCAGTGCTGGTCCTGATCACCCTAACGTATCACCTGTTACGAGTAATACAGAGACTGAATAAGTAAGTTTGTCTACTGTTTCTTCTGCTGTCTTCAACCATCATTTGCGGTCTTCTGCTCTCTTCACGAGACAAACATAAAATTTTATGCTGGGAATTTTCATTGTCCAATATGATTTTTTTATAAAATTATTCTTCTGTACTTGAAGTGATTCAGAAACTGCTGTGAATAAATGTCTTGGCTTCTCTGCATCCTTTTGAGCTATACTTCTGAGAAAGCAAAGAATTTAATTTTTTTTCTGCATGCCTGAAGCACGACATTAGTTCAATTAAGTTTATGACAGTGTTAACGGCCATATATTTTGGATGGGGGCAGTGCCCAGTATTACAAAACAATGCGAATTTACGCTTCCACAAAGAGGTCTTTAAGGTGAGAGCTGAATGGCATTTCTTTGCTTGACTCTTCGAAACTTTTATGAATAGGGACCTTAGGACATAGTGAGAGGGGGGGAGGGGACTAATATTCTTAATAAAAGCTAGCCTTCAATTCTGTCAGGAACATATTAATTTACGCAGGAAGTTATTTAAGTTGATAATAACGTGAAGAACATTACCTTTATATTTTTAGCAAAGCTGAATATTTAGAAAGAGGACTATTGCAACAATGATATAATAAAAAAAACAGTAGAAGGCCCAGAGATAAAACATTCTTTCATTTCCTCATAAAAAAGGTCATATAACGATATTCTCTGTAAAATGAAGTGAAAGAAATATCAATTTAATTAATTGTATCACATACTCTTATTCATACAAATATTCCACTGTATAACACTAAACTGAATCGGTTTAACACTTTTTAATTAGAATTTAATCAGCTCTGAAGGTCTTATGTATATATCTACCATATAGTAAGATGTGAAGGGATACTTCTGTTTATTGCTCTGTGAGAGTATACTGATGGTAATCGTCTACTGGTGATTGGCTTGAGGGGTGACGCTCTAGCAAAAGAGTAAGTAGTCTATTTATATTTATATACACTGTATATTTATATATCCTCACAACCCATGTCTGGAAAACCACGTCTTATTTTGGCAATTTAGCAACACATGAAATACCTTTGCCATCCCTTTCACTTTTAGCAATCCACAGCTGCATGCCCTCCAGATTTTGGAGTGAGAGATATGGCTAATATTAGTTGAAAGAAAGAGAAAGTACTTATTCTGAGCTTGTTAAGTCTAAAACGTACTGTAGCCAATTCATTGAAAAGGGTAAACGCCTTGGCAAATGGTGGTCACTTTGAGCATTTACTCGACAGTCAGTTTTTTGACATTTCAAGGAAATTATATTTTATTAATTATTTTCAATAATTATTAATTTACTACTGATTTATGTTTTATTAGTATTTTTAATAATTTTATTAAGTCTTTCTTATTTGCTTAATAATCAGATCCAAAATAATAATAATAATAATAATAATAATAATAATAATAATATCAGCCCCAGTGGCGCGGTTTGCGGCAGCCGTCGTCTGTGCCGAGGAGAGCTGCAGGTTTCTAGTCCTGCGTTTAGTCATTGGCTCGTATTTGCTCGATTGTCCTTTACCCTCTATCAGCAACTTATCATTTCTCATAATTCACACTTCAAGGCGTAACAACCTTGTCGTAATCCAAGGATACAGCTGAAAAGCTGATCCTGGAAGAATTACGCACGTTGGTCGTGTAGCGTGGTCAGTAATGACCTATATGATAATAATAATAATAACAATAATAATAACAACACATTATTATTATTATACAATATTATTATTATTATTATTACAATTATAATACATTATTATTGTTAAAAATAATGAAGAGCTTGAATTGAATTGAAGTAATGCCTTATTTTACGTGGCGAGACTGGCCAATAGGCCTGCTCTTCCGTCTGACCACGCAAATTTCTCTACACTCCTTTCACCAACTAGCAGAGAAAGGAGGTATTTCTTGGGCGAGAAACAGGCGATTTAAATTTAGCTTAGAGGCGTCATTTAGGCTTGAGGATCTTTTACATGCAAGTAAATCTACTAACATGGGACAGCCGGCTTTACTTCCCCTCCGAAGGAAGGCGTACGAAGGATTTTTTCGCCCTTACAAATCCACGGCTGGCGGTTGAACCCGCCAACTTGGGTACAACAGTCCGAAACGCTAACCGTTACACCATCGCCGCCGCCGAGCTTGGCAGTAATGTTTCACCAGATATCTTTCTGATTTCTGTCCGAGACGTCTTTTATTAAATAATAATAATTTTTATGTTGGTGTTTATGAATTGAGATACTGGACAGAATCGCCTAATGAGATCTTTTGTTTGTTTCTTGCTCATCTCTCTGCTCACCTCTTCCTACCCAGCCACTCTGTACAGAGCAAAAAACTTCTAGCATGTGAGCCGCGTACCTGCTCACCTAATCTCTTGAATGGGAAAAACATAGAAACAGAAAAGTTGTGCATCTTATGATCTGAAGGTCACCCTCCTCTGATGTCCCAATCTTCCTAATCTCCTTCCTGTAGTCCTCTGGGCAGCCATTGCAGCTTGTACATCTTGGGCCCAGCTTCTTGGTAGTTGACTGTTTTCTTCTCTCAGGAGAAATCCATTTCCATATCAATTTAGGCCATCTAAACTCCTTCATTCTTTCTAGATGACCATAACAGAGGAGGCATTTGGTTTTAATTTTGTTGATAATATTTCTTTTAACGCCCATAATATCCCCGTTCCAGTTTAGAAATGACACTGCTACTTCTCGAAAAATCCATTTCAAGTGCAAGAAATCTGCCTCATTCTCTTTTATTTTGTTCCCACACTTCTGCACCGTAGGTAGTGATACTTTCAACTACTGAGGAGTAAATAGTATCCTTTGTTCTTTATTATATGGAGTTTAGTTGCTGTATCTCTCTTTTACCTTGTCCAATTTTCTTATTAATGTCATCACAGCTTTCACCATTGGATGATAAAGTGACTCCTAAATATTTAAAAGTATAACCTTTAATCTTTTCATTCCCTACCTCTTTCAGTCTACATCTTCTGGCTCATCATTTCTCACTTTCGGATACTCAGATTTATACATATTAATCTTTATGCATATAATTCAAGTCATCCATATTCCGGCCACCATGACCAGATCATCGGCACAGAGTAGAGTATATATAATTTCACCACTGACTGGAAAGCCCATACCACATTTCCTATTCCACTCTTCAAAGGCTTACTCTAAATAGATCTTAAAAAGGGCTCGTGCTATAGTACATCCCTGTCGTAGGCCGTTCGTGACCAGGAATTCTGAGGAAACTATTGCCCGTTTTACCACGTAAAATTGCTGTAAAATTCTTTTATGACAATAACATAAGTTGACTTTTTATATCTTTTTGATAGATACAGAAACCCCACTTCAAGCTCTCTCTTCCTTAGGCACCCCACTATAAATGTGGATGTACCCATTCCTTTCTTCCATACCCCTTCCCTTTTTCAGTTTCTGTGAATCCTATTATGTCCATATCATACTTTTTGATTTCTCTAAATACCTTCTCAGTTTTTGTGTCTATTCCTGATGTGGCATGTATCAATATTCAAAGCCCATTTCTGCACATGTTTTCGTCTTGATCCATCCTGCTCTCAGGCTTTGTTGGGACAAAGTAGACATTTCTATTGTATTTAATTTCTCAAGATCATCTCTGTGGCCCACCTTTTAACTTACCAGACTTGCATACAACATTTGAGAGATTACAATGGTATTTTTTTCAAATTTCCAAACTATCGATTTTTGGGAGAAATATAAGAAATGAAAATAAAGTAGGACAAAGAGTTATTTCAAAAAAAGTAATGAATTCAATACATACATCAAATGAAGGAGCATATTTTATTCTTTAATGTCTCAAAATATTAAATTTCTGTAACAATTACAACAAGAGTTAAAAATGTTAAAATTTAGCAATGTCAGCATTTTTTCGAAAATTTTGAAAATTAATACAACCTTAAAAACTAATATTTGGGAAAAAATGAAAATCACATGTTTCGTTTTTGCTTATTCTCTTTCCAGAAAAAAGTTTTAAAATCTGGGACATCACGGTCAAATTTGCATTAAATTTGTGCAATTTGACATAGAATGACATGTACAGGTACGTTTGACAAAAAGTTTGTTACATTATACATTAAGAAATCTTGTTACATTATCCAAATTTTAGAAATATATCTAATAATACATCAAAAATATTTGGACACAACTATTGAAAAATCCAAAAATCCAATCCAACAGAAGATGATTCCAGTTGCTTACCTTATTATTAGCAAAAGCCTTCAGTTCTGCAACAATAACAGGCTGATTCTGTCGTTGGGTAATTAGCACTCTTGCTTCTTCAAGCACATGTGTGGTAACAGCAGCCTTTGCCTGTCTATCACTATCATCTAAGCGTTTTTTCATATCTCGCAAAACATTTCGTAGTTCTTCCTGCAAATATACATATATATAAATTTTTAAATTCTAAAATACTTGGGAAAAGTTCACAAAAAAGTAATCTTTTGATTTCTCACAGGTTACCTAAAGCTACATGCGGAACACAAAGTATTGTCATGCGAAAAACTGTGTTGATGATACAGGTTTATATAGAGGTTTATAATAGTTTTCTAGTAAACTTGCACCCACAAACAATACTGGCCTCTAAACCAAGCACAAGATTTTCTTACATAAATACTTTATTACATCACTTATAAAGATCATTGTTTCAATGTTGGGTCTGTTAATTCTAGATGGAATCTTAATAAGGGAGGATTTTATATTACAATGCCTTTATTTCAAAACTTTCCAAAACACTGATAAAAAAATTATATAAATTTCTTTATACAAACAGATTATTATCTGATTTATTATTTCATATGTCAATTTTGAGTTCTGAAATTATGAAAATTTTAAAATGTCAATAAAATCTTATATTTAATTGATTCATTTTATTTAATATTACAATATTTACAAATAAAACCATTTTGTTAATTCATTTGTTCTCAATATTTTTCTACATTTTTTGTAAAACCAGTTGATTTTGTTGTTTTAGGAATCAAACACAAAAAAATGTACACATTAACAGCCAGAGATGTACGAGTACCCCAAAAAAAGAGATTTTTTGTTGTTGTTGTTGTTGTTGAGATAACTTATGAACAAAGTACTAGTTTTCTTTGTTTGTTTTTCTGCCAATACACTGTTATTCTGAGCATTTTCCACTGTCACCTGAACTAACTGTTTAAGTGATTAATAAACCTTGCAACATATATTAATTTTCAATTGAATTTTAATCTGAAATCAAAAATTTGTAATTTCTTAATTGGTGCATCTATAGAGAAGCTGCTTTGCAACCTGTAATATTTTTCTTTCTCCTTTACAATAATGTAAATAAGCATCAATTAATTTTATGTATTTGTAGACATGTTTTGAATTTACCTGGTGTGCTGATACACCACTAGCCAAGGGAAGGGTCCTTCTGGAAAGTCCCAGGTTAACCTAGTAAGGCCCAACATTGCACTAGCACATTGAATATATATCCTTTTTTCTCCCCCCCCCCTTTTTTTTTTTTTAATAGATAAAATGATTCAATATAAATTTGTTCTGTATCCATTACCGCACTAAGAAACCCTATTTTATAGTTTTACCTCTTTTCATTCACATACAAGCTTAAACCTTCTTTGAATTTCGACACTTTGAGATAATGTAATGGATTGAGTTATCAATAGCCTTTTTCATTTTTATTACACAATACTTTTGTATATATACGGGACATTCTTTGTCAAAATGGTCACCAAAATATCGAAGGTTTGGAAATCATGCAAATAATTATATTTTCTTATAGTTCTGAATCCCTTCAATAACCAAGGATGAAATTTTGCAAGAATTAAGTACAAGTACGTAGGAGTATTTTGGTTTTTGAAAATAAAAAAAAGACTTTTTCACAATCGCTTTTTAGATGTTTACCCTGTTTATGCCCTCTATGATTTGGAAAAATGTTTGTTGTGCAATTTTTCTTTAGCTTGACAAAAATATTACATGAAACATTAGATACCCATGTCTTAGCTAGGAATTTTTTAACACAACAATGCTGGAAAATGTAGTTAAATAGTTAAAAAATTGAATTATTTTTAGATAAAAAATACCGTTTCAAATAAACAATATTTCTTGTTTTTATAACATGCTGAATCCGAGAATACATTTATTTTCATGATTTTGGACCCATCGATATTTCTTGACTGTTTGAACAAAGAGTGTCCCCATTGATGAACTTGCTTAAACCTACAGCATATTAAAGAACATTAAAGAATATTTCTTATGTAGATAAACTCCTTCATAGCTTATTATTGATAATTTACAATAATGTGGCGTTTATGCAACTTCGGAATTAGTGAATATGTAGTCTTAATATGTTAGAACAAATGCAATTCCAATGTAAGCGCTGAAGAATAGACATGTTAATAAACTTTGTAGAATGTAAATGTTGAAAAATAGACTGTTTCATATTTATATATATATGTATAGCCCAGTAAGGCCCAACATTGCGCTAACACATTTAATATTTATATATATAGATTATATATATGTATATAATTTCAGAATTTCCTGAAAAGGTTTGTGCCGTATCCTACGATCCAGTGTGGATGAACAAGGCCACCTCCCACAGTAAAAACCCACATACTAGAATAGCGACCTTAGCAGTTGGCATGCCCAGAACCACCAATTAATCAATCAATCAAGATGTAGGGCACATGATTATAGAGAATGTAAACAAAGCCAGGTGAAGATTGTGCAAAAGCCTTAAAATTTACAAACTTAAGAAAAGTAACGTTCATCTTCCTTCAAACTCTCTTCAGTCATTTCATGTAAAGATGAATTGATATACCCTACTGTCCTAAAGTTGCATATTTGCAACACTTTGTTGTTCATTGACTAGTAGTTGGAAAAATTTAGAAATGTGTTTTTTGTCTTTTTCTAGTGTAATATTAGAATAAATAAAGAATATTAGTTAAAAATATTATTATTTCATTGCTTGGCCTTTAATGGGTTAAGCAAATCATTGAAAGAATACACATCTTAGGAAAAGTTTCTGCCAAAAGTAGTTGCATGGTCACGTTACTAGCATGGCCAAGTTGTAGCAACCTAAAGCTGGTATTTTTTATAAAAGCTGAAGTGCTTTGCAGTTCTGATAAACACACTGGAATGGAATGGATGGTGAATGGATTGGAATGGATGGGAATGGATGAAAATGTGCTTTAGTTTCTCTGAACAGTGAATAAAGTTTGGTTCCAGTTCAACACTTAGCTGTTGAATGCACAACACAGTATAGTTGCAGATTTTTGTTTCCTTTTGTAATAATTATTTTGGGTGCAATAAATTATTAGTTTATTTGAGTTCTGTACAATCTTGTTTGAAGATTGACAGAAACTATTAGTTATTTTTTGCCCATAGGTGTTCTATTTTTTAACCATTATCCCTCTCTTAAAGAATCCAAGGCTAGTTCAGAGCATTATTGAATCCTATTCCAAGTCTTTCCCTGATGTCTCAGAACCCTCTCTGGCCTGAAGTGCATGAGCACACAATTACTAGTTCTCTGTAATATCCAGCACATAAAGCATACTATCCAGTGTATGTGTACACATACAAAGTAAACACATACTTCAAATTATCATTACTTAGGTTGAAAAGGGTTTCCAAGAAAAGCAGCATTTTGTATCCAGTATTTCAAAGGCCAACAAGATAACAAAACTCTCCAGGTTTTGTAGCTATGCCTTTGAAATATTGTTGCCACAGCAAAGTACTAAAGTGAACTTTGTTGATATTAATTTGGTAAACATTGATTATTGACAATATTTAAATCACAAAAGTTTCTTTTTCTCTGAAAATGATTTTTATATCACATTTAATATTTGATGTGGTGCATTACGATTCAAATAAGTTAGTTTCTTTCATAAATCTGAGAGGTGGTTAAAAAACAGGTAGGAGTCTTTCAATATCCTGAAGATAGATTGATATGTACACTTATATGGAAAGTAAATCTGTAGTACATTGCAGCACTATTAGTATTAACTGCACTGAAAACAAATTCTTACTTTCTTCCAGTATGGAATTACAGCATGTGACACATCATCAGTCAACTCTATGATCTTTTTCTGCAGAGAACGACCATCTCCTGGAGGAGCTTTAACTACTTTCTCCTTTAATTCCACAACCTCTCGTTCTAACAAAGCTGTTTTATTTAAAGCTTTAGTAGCTTCAGGACCAGTTAAGGCTACAATTCGCCTCACACCTTTTGAAATTGCCTCTTCACTTGCTATTACAAAATCACCAATATGAGCAGAATTTTGTAAATGCCTGAAAGGAATATTTGTTAAAATATGAACAACACACCAAAAAACAATCTCCAATCAATATGATATCAAACAAAATAGTTACATTAGTCCAAAACACAGAGGTAATTCACTAGGCAACTGTTCACTTACAAGCAAAGAGGACAATACAAAATTAACAGACACAAAATTCAATTTAATTATTTATTTATGAATTATGATCAGTTATTAATTAATTAAATATACTATTAAAACTTAATTACTCATAAACAGAAACAATACAATACAACATAATATAACAATTTAGAAATAATACATCATAAAAAGACATGAATAGAATATTAAGAAATGTCCAATACATTACTTACGTCCCACCACAGAACTCCACTGAAGTTTTCATACCAGCCAATCCATAAGGATCAGCTTCAAGTTCTTCAACAGGTACTCCAATGCTTACCACCCTAACAGGATCTGGATACACTTCATCAAACACTGCACGGAGCCCTTGAATTGTTTTTGCTACAGCTAAGGCAGAATCTTTTGCATACACAGGTAATTTTTTCCGTATCAACGCAATAGCTTCTTCTTCTGCAGCTTTTACTTGTTCTATTGTCATGGCATTCTGCAAAAAATAGGAGAAAATATGCCCAATATATTCTGATAATTCAGATTGCTATTATTGCAACAGTGGAAAAGTTGTACCAACCTTATTGGTAAAATCAAATCTCAGCCTATCAGGAGCAACAAGAGAACCTCTCTGAGCAACATCTGCTTTTAAAACTGCTCTAAGAGCATAATTTAGCACATGTGTTCCTGTGTGATTATTCATAACTAATCTTCGTCTTTCAGTATCAACATGCAAATCCACAGAATCTCCAACTTTCAGTTCACCTTCAACACGACCCACATGTAAAACATAGCCTCCAGATACTTGTACATTCTTCACTGCCACTTCAACACTCTGAAGACAAAGATATTCAAAATAAAATTCTGATAATTTTTGTGAATTTACATATGATTAACTTCCAAGCAATTCATTAATTTCAAATTCTATGCAACCCAAAATATTTTTTAAAAAGCAACAAAAAATGTATAATATTATATAACAAGACAATTCAAATATCACTTACATCATCACCAGTTTTCACAATAAATCCTTCATCATAAATCTGTCCACCAGCATTAGCATAAAATGAAGTTTTATCCAGAATAATTCCACACTCCTCTCCAGATAATACTTTCTCGACAAATGCTCCATGTGAACGAATTGCAAGAATACGTCCAGAGCATGGTGTAAAATCTGAATAAAAATTGCAGATAAACAGTTTACATCTCAAGACATTATCTCAAAAACAAGAAAATAAACGTATCCAAATTGAAACCTTAAACCAGCACAAATGGAAATTAATTTGCTGCAAGAATACATTCTTTCTCATATTATTGTAACAGAACATTATTATACTACTACAACTAAGAAAATTTTTGCCCACACTGAGATACAAATTCGCATATTAAGATTTAGTAAGCTTTGAGTAGAGAGCGAGCGGACGTTAGATGATGCACCTAGAAACAAAGCACATGGGGAGAATTAATTTTACATGTTAGGAAACACAACAGAAAGCTTTTCAGAGACTTGCCTCGCACCTAAATCACCCCGCTGAACCTAAATACACCTTATGTCCCTATTTCCCAATGTTCACAAATTCAAACAATATTTGTGCAAGTCATGCACTTTGTTTTGCTACACATTGCTCCAAAGTAACCTGTCACTATTTTTAACTTCAGGAGAACGAAAGCAAAGAAGACACATTCCAGATATTTTGAAGGTCACAAGGGCTGATAATTTGCTATTAGAAGAAAGAATTGCCTCAAAGGTGTTTGGATTGCTCTCAATGGTGTCAAAGAATGTAGAAAGATCTTTTTCTGTCTATTCAAACTTTCTGAAAGACAAGCATTTAAATTTTAATTTCCGTAACGTTGGGATGTAATTCAATTCAATATAATCTATTTTTTATGGCACAGAGAACACTGATATCATTTATCACATCAAATCACACAAATTTAAGGAAAATTTGACCTTGGTGTTGTAGATTTTTAAATTTTCTTTGTTGAGAAGAGTATAAACAAAAATGTGAATGACATGTTTTTCATGTTTTTTCCTAAAATTCGAGATTATATTAATTTTCAAAATTTTTGTTAAAATTCTCGCATCCCCAAAGTTAATCATTTTTATCTTCTGTTGTAATTTTAACGGAACATTAATATTGTCCATCCTTAAAGAACAAAAGATGCTCTTTCCATTTGTATGTATTGAATTCATTAAAGTTTATAAAAATTATTTTAGACCTCTTTAATTTTTATTTTTTCCAAAAACTGACAGTTTAAAAATTTGAAAAAAATATCTTTGTAATCTCTACAAAGTTCCACATGAGTGTGGTAAGTTACAAAGTGGGAAACCGAGATGAATCTGAGAAATAAAATACAATAGAAATGTCAACTTGCTGTTTTGCTGCCGTGTCTGCAAGAGCATCACCCATCAAACACTTGCCAACATGCAGTAGACGATTACTATCAATATACTTGCACATAGCAATAAAAAGAAGTATCTCTTCACATCTTACTACATACCAGATATGTACATATGATCTTCATAGCTGATTAAATTCAAATTAAATAGTGTCAAACTGATTCAGTTTAGTTTTAAACATACAGAATATTCATACGAATAACAGAATGTGATACAATCAATTAAATTGATGCTACTTTTACTTCACTTTTCAGAAAATATGGTTAATTGACCTTTTCATGAAGAAATGAAACTAGTATATATTTTCTTTGAACCTTTTTTTAATTTTTTTATTTTTTTATTATTATATCATTGTTGCAATGGTCCTCTTTCTAAATATTCAACGTTGCTAAAAATGTAAAGGTAATGTTCTTCACATTATCATCAACCAACTTAAATAACTTCCTGGATACATTAATAGGTTTCTGTCAGAACTGAAGGCTAGCTTTTATTAAGAATATTATAGTTGACATATTTCATTTTTTAATTTTTTAAATATGTGACAGTATTTATATGCCATAAATCTCACAGTTGCATTAAGTTTGGATGTCATGATGCGTCGTTGACGACCCAAATAGCAAGTCTGGCGGGCTGCCAATATGTGCTGGTGAACAAACTATTTTTTAATGTTATTTATGTGTATCCCACTTTGAAATTTGGCAGATCTATACAAAACTAGTGTAGAAATAAAAGAGTATTCTTTACAATTAATTTAAGTGCTAACCCAAAGTAAAAATTTGCATTTTAAAAATTAAAATATACTCTTAAATACTTAAATAATATGTATACAAAAATTATATTTACATCACATGAAAGTACATATTTTTAAGTTAAAATTTAAGTGTAATTTTTTTCTGTATAAAACAGTATCTGTGCAAAAAAATTTCAATCCTAGAACTTACGAAAAAATTTTCGAGTTGCTAAAAAATAGAGATGTTTTGTGAGTGTGCAATTTGACATGGAATGACTCGCATATGTTTTGAAAAAATTGTAAATGACCTTATTTGAAATCTGCATTCTTGGCTATCGGCTCTGAAGAAGGCCACAGCAAGATGGGCGAAACGTCAGCACAATTAACCGAGACGCGGGTCATTCCGGATAGTCAAGAATGCATTGACTCTGGTTGCAGAAGCCTTATTTGAAATCTGTTTTTGACACATTTCATTAAATCTTCAATATTAATTATTAATATAAATAAATCTCCAATACAGCAGTAGTAGGAAGATTCTGCAAAAATTCAAACTTCCCATATTCAGAGTGAGTGTGTGAGCGAGCGTGAGTGAGTGAGAGTGAGCGAGCGAGCGTGAGTGAGCGAGAGTGCGCGAGAGCGTGAGCGCGCGAGAGAGCGCGAGCGCGCGAGAGAGCGCGAGCGCGCGAGAGAGCGCGAGCGCGCGAGAGA